CTTCCATGAAACAAAACCAGCCACCATTATCATGAACATTCTCTATAGGAAAACTGAGATTTATTTCACCGACGTAATACTCAAATCTCACATACAATCACTATGCAATCAAGGGAGCTTGCATTGATCAAATCCCAATTACACCCTTCTCTTTACATGAAAATTTTGCAACTTCTGCATTGATCAAAGTGCCCAGAAACCAGCTAATTTGATTCATGCCCACGTTATAACCAGTGAGTTCGGTTCAGATGTCCATTTGAACACCAAACTGATCATCTTTTATTCGAAGGTTAGGGATGTGGTTTCAGCTCGCAAAGTGTTCGATAAAATGACTGAAAGAAGTGTTGTTTCATGGACAGCAATGGTTTCTGGGTATCCCAAGTTGGGTATCACGAGAATGCGTTGTCTCTGTTTCTGAGATGGTAGGGTGGGTGTAAAGGCCAACCAGTTTACTTATGGGAGCGCATTGAGAGCGTGTACTGCATTGAAGTGTTTGCAGGGAGGTATGCAAATACAAGGGTGTGTGCAGAAAGGTAGATTTGTTGAGGACGTTTTTGTTTAGACTGCATTACTTGATTTGCATGCCAAATGCGGGAAGATGGAAGGAGCACGAGTTTTGTTTGACACAATGTCAAAAAAGGACGTGGTTTCTTGGAATGGGATGATTGGAGGATAGTCTTTCAGTTGTTTCGATTGATGATGAGGGAAGGTATTTTGCCATCAGTTTCTATCACTTTTCTGTTTGGCGTGGTTACTTTCTTTTTTTTTTTTTTAATAAATGGAAAACCAGTTGTGTACTTTTTATTAAATTCTGAGATGAATAAATGTTGGAAATATTTCATTCACAAATAATAAAGTAAAAGAAGAAGCAAGAATGTACACAAAATTGGTTCAGTCCATCTGACCTACCTTCCCAGTAATATTCACTATATTTTAATTATTGCAGGTACAATGTGAAGTTGTATAAACATCAAACAAATCCCTCACTATCCCTTGAACCCAGTACCATTCCCAAATTTTGATTATAAAGGATAGTAAACTATCAATTTTACACAAAATGGCAATGGCTGACACAGTCCTTGTCTCCTCCTTCTCTCCTTCCCGTTCACCATATCTTACATCTGCCACTCACACAACACTTTTATAGGCGTAAGGAAGAGGCAAAATGGTTGGTTGGGAGCGGAAAAATAAATGGGGCCATGAGATGGGTAACTGGAAAATCAACTACCACTCCAACATGAATCAAAGGTCAACATGTCTAGTTTCCAAACACTCATATGCGGTGGTAACTTAAAACAACAGCAAAAGAATATACACACACCAAATCCTAGCACAATAGATTTGGTCCTTAGTTTCCATCACATCACTACCATGTTACATATACTAAACTTATAGGATTATCATCTTTCTTCTTCACTCCCTTGCCCTCCGAAGGTGCTGCATGAAGCTTCCTAACTCCTCTCTGAAATTAGGGTCTCTACTCTGTATATGATCCTCTCTCTCTGCAATTGTAATACTCTATGTTGCTTGCACCTCTTCACCTGGATTTTCCATGAGGGCCACCTCTTCCTTGTGAATGACTCTCCCCTTTTCTTGAGTTCTCTGCAACTAATGCATGCTCCCCCCTGAACATTCCTTTTTTCCCCATAATTTTCTCACTCTCCCTCAGTTGGGTACGACATCATCAAGCTTTTATGTTGTTATGTTAACAAATATTGTTTGCACTACTAGTTTATAAGATTTGGGGGAGGAAGCTGTTACAGAATGTAAATCATAGTAATTAACTAGGGTTTAATTAGGTTAAAGGATGTCGTAATAAAATATTTCTCTATGTAATTAATATATATAAGGTCATGATATTTAATAATTACATAATAAATCATTCTTAACATGGTACAAGAGATTTAGGAAAAATATCTATATCTCTTTTCAAATCATAATCAGCATTCATTTCCGAAATAAGAAAATTACAGTGAACCTCCAACTGGGCCGACCTTCATAGCCGGCCACCATGACCACCACCACTGCTGGCCTTCATAGCCAGCCACCAGCCTGATAAGCCATCTTCACCAATTGCTCTCTGCAGCTGTGAGCCAGACCAGCAACGCAACCAACCAAGACGCTTGCGCCTTGGTGCGCCTATTCTAGTCGCACCTCCACCATAACCGTGCGAGCTAGGACAACCTGTGGCTGTTGTCCACTGCACCAGCAGCCACCTATCCTCATTAGCTCCTTATTCAGCACGACTATTTCGTTTTCTCCCTTATAAAATTGTCCTTAATTCACCCAGAAAATTCTGCTCATGTCGAAGATCACGTCCCAAGCCCCCGGCACAAAGCATAATGTGGCAAATTCGCAGCAATCAACTAGATAATTTGAATAAATTCAGGTTGCCTACTGCCTGAATAAGAAAATCACTTTAATTGGTCACAATCGATTCTGGCAATCCTTAAAGAAAAATTCATACTTAGCTATTTTCTAGGATTGGAGCACAATAGAGAGACCTACAATTTGATGCCTGGGATAAAGAAAATTTGATGATAATGATTTGGTTCTAGAATTTATGTTCTTGACCACTGCTAAAGAAGTTTGGGAAGCAGTCAGATAAACTTATTGCAGAGTAAAAGATGTAGCTCAGATCTATAATTTAACAATTAAAATATGATCTTGAAAACAAGAAAATTAGCGATAGAGTATGTTAATCTACTAAAGAATTGGTTGCAAGAATTAGATTAGTAAAGCTGCCTTACCATAAGAAAGCACTTCTAAGCTCAAATAATCTCCTAGAGTATAGTTTCGTAAATGGCAAATGTAAGGTTAAGCATGGGATACAATCGAAGTCAAGAAAACCATACCCTATTGATCAAACACTCTATTTTAGGGGAGATTTATAGTTCTCCTACTGTATGTTGATGATATCATTATGACAGGTGATGATGAAAAAGAAAAACAAATAGTCAAACAGTGTCTGGCTAAGAAGTTTGAGATTAAGGAATTGAAAAGCTGAAATATTTAATTGGAAATGAAGTTACTCACATAAAATCAGAAATCTTTATCTCATAATAAAAATATATCAATAATATGCTAAAAGATATAGGCAAGCTGACATGTAAACCTATTAGTACTTCTATTGATTCCAACCATAAGTTGGGACTTGCAGAAGAAGATACAAAGGTAAACAAGGAAATGTACTAGTGATTAGTTGGAAGATTAATATATTTGTTGCACACAAGACTAGATTTTACCTATATAGTAAGTGTAATAAGTCAATTCATACACAACTCTGAAAAGCTACGTTTACAAGCAATATGTAGAGTATGTACATTACTTGAAGGGAACACCTGGGGTGTTATGTTTAAAAGAAATAACAGGTTACTTATTGAAATCTGTACCGATGTAGATTATGCCGGACCAATAGTGGACAAAAGATTTACTATAGGTTATTATTTCTTAGGGGTAATTTGGTCATCTGGAGAAGCAAAAAATAAAATATAGTCGCAAGATTAGTATTGAGTCAGAATTTGAGTAGTGGTACAAGGATTATGTGAGTTGCTACGTTAAAAATGAAATGGACCTACACGTCTCTATTGTGGTAACAAGTCAACTATAAGTATTGCTCATAATTCAGTATAACATGATGTAACAAAATATATTGAATTTAACATGGACTTCATTAAAGAGAAACTACGTAGTGACCTGATATGTACATCACACATGCCTATTAACTCTTAACTTATAGATGTATTGACCAAAGACTTGATTGACTAGGTATTATAGACAATTATGGTCAAGCTTGGAATAGGTAATGTCTATAACTCAGCTTAAAAGGGAGTGTTAGAACATGTATACCATCTTTAATTAACTAGTGCTAAATTAGGTTATAAGATATAGTGGTGAAATACATCCCTGTGAAGTAATTGTCACTTTCCTTTTTTGTTCACAAGAATATATACATATATATAGACATGATATTTAATAGAATACACAACAAATTATTCTTAACAGGAGCCAATATCAATAGTGTTTGCTTGCTCCTTACCTTTCAGTTGTTTTGCTCATCTCTTCCTAACAATTGGTACACCTATTTAAGAGAATTAATATGGTTATAAAATTACCTCCTTTCGCCATCTTTAGTGCGTAAAGGTTCATCTTCATGTGCAACTGGTTAATAGAGTAAATGCATAACTCCTCTGTAATTTGATCAACAATGTCTTTGGTATTGTATCCTCCAGCAAGCTATACTTAATTTTCAGGAGCGAGTGAATACTGACCAATTTTGTTGCATAAATAGTCTTCATTTTCAGGATTTTCATCTTCAAAAGCCATCTCAAGATTTTGTCGGACAAGCAAATGTTTTACCATACACTATCACAGGGTAAAATTGATTTTTCTATTGAAGACCAAGACATCAAAGTTTGTGCAGTTCGCTATCATAATAACCCACACAATAATTTGAAAGGTGGTTGATGGCGTGGCAATGACCACTGGCAAAACTCTCATTTTGTGCATAGACTCACCTTTGATCCCCTTTTCAACAAGCACAAGAACTTGACAACCTTGGTTTTTGTACTAGTTGTTGGGGATGCTTTCACACCAGAAATAATAAAATAAAAGGAGAGAACAAGAACACACGAATTAATTTGGTTTGATCCATAACCTACACCAATGGGAACATTGACAATATTGGAATCTACAACGAGAAAATGTGTAAACACTGCAAAATCTTTTATTATTTCTTGAAACTAGATTGCGAAGTATAGGGGAAAAGATCAGTCTTATATGAATCTCAATGACTCACACTCTTCAACCCCTCTTCTCTTTTTGCCGTTCACCACACGCTACTTACCACACAGACACACTGCTTTTATAGGAGAAAGGAACAAGAAAGAAGGTTGTTGGGGATGAAGAATAAATGGAGCCATGAAGTGGGGTGGCTGAAAATTGACCATCATCCGCACGAGTTAAAAGTCAACAACGAATATGTTAATCCTCAGGTGAAATTGTAACTTTTTAATTTGTTTGAGGTTCTATGTTTTTCATGACTCATAGTTATTATGTTAAAGGATAACAAACAAACATTTCTTTCTGAAAAACAAACAAACAAAAGATTGACCACCTAAGAAGAAAAACTAAACAAAGACTGATGTGAACAATATTTAGTTTCTTATATTTTTGGTACAAAGTTTTAAGAAATATTTTAAATCTCAAGTTCTCGTGCTAATTATTGAATTTGGTTGTTAGGTTTGTTATTATGAGAGGCTTCAAAAATTCTTCCAATATTGTAAAGGGTGTTTAAAGCATTTACAAGCAGAGATTGCACCTAAGTTAGAGTCAGAATATTAATGTCAGTCCCTTGTTTGATACTTTAATATAAAAAAATACTTAAAAACTTTTGGATAATAGCCACCTATATTGACAATTATGAGAATCAACTATTGGTTTGATGCTGCCAAATGACAAACATTGTTTAGAAGACTATGAACTTGCCCATCTATGTCTTGTTTGCTCAATTTCATTACTTCTGAAAGTATTTCAACATTATGATAAATTTGAAAAAGTTATTGATACTAATTCAATCCTGTTCCAGATCTGGTTTAAAATCAAGCCTCTCTCTTTTTATTTTTCTTTCCCCCCCTTTTTAAGGGGGTGATTGGTTGGGAAATGGTTCTCTTCATGAAACTCTATTTGTATCTACGTACCTTAATACACAAATATGTTTTATTAATGTTTCATATGCCATTATTGAAATGCTCTGTTTCAACAGGGAAGACTCCTGATTCCTTCACTTTAAGTAATGCTTTGAGGGCCTCTATTGGAGGTAGTGGTCTCATGAAGGTTAGTCAAGTACATGGATTGATCATCAAACTAGGTTTTGGAGCACATAGCATGCTAGCTGGATCCCTCATTGATGCTTGCGCAAAATGTGGAAGCACCAAGAGCGCTTATCAGTTATACAAGATAATGATAGAAAAGGATATAATTTCTTGTACTGCTTTAATAGCTGCATTTGCACGTTTAGGCGGATACACAAAGGATGCATTCAATCTTTTCGAAGATGTAAAGTTAATGCAGATGAGAGTAGATGATGTTATATTATGCTCCATCCTTAATATATGTGCCAATACTGCATCTTTAAGTTTTGGGAGACAAATACATGCTTTTGCTTTAAAAAGTCAACCTAGTTATGATGTGGCAATGGGAAATGCTCTCATTGATATGTATGCCAAATCTGGAGAAGTTGAAGATGCTACCCCCTTGCTTTTAATGAGATGAGAGAGAGATATGTGATTTCTTGGACATCATTGATTGCAGGATATGGGAAGCATGGATATGCAGATAAAGCAATTGCACTATATAAGAAGATGGAATGTCAAGGCGTGAAACCAAATGACATCACATTCTTATCCCTCCTTTTCGGTTGTAGCCATACTGGATTGATTGGCGAAGGATGGAAGATATTCAATACTATGGTTAGCAAATACAATATTTCACTTAGAGCTGAGCATTGTTCTTGCATTATAGATCTTTTTGCATGTGGAGGGCAGTTAGAACTAGCTTATTCTTTGATAAGTGAATGAATATAAAGCCTAGCCCATCACTTTGGGGTTCTCTTCTTGGAGCATGTAGAATCTATGAAAACGTGGCTCTCGAA